CTGCTCCGGGTACCTCTCTGACGTAGCAGAGTTGACTGTGGAGCAGCCCCATTGGTTTGGTGGTCTGCCTAGTATTTAGGCAGACCTGCCGCCGGGGCGCCGTAGTAGTTATGCGCAAGCGATCCTGCGGCGTCCCACTAAGGCGGGGGGAAGGGATGTCGGGTTTTAGTGGGTAGTACCGGCTCTTCTAGCCGGTGAGCCCCACATCACCACCTGGGGGATCAGGTGGTATGCGTAAATGCATTTCCCGACAATAAAAAAAAAAAAAAAAAATGTAAGAGTATCAGCTCTTTTCTAAAATGATGTAAGGCATTTTGGTGTATGATTACTCGATTGAATGCTTTGGGGTTTTTAAATTTTTAATTTATGATACATTAAGTTTCTGAATAACATAATGTGTAAAACAACAAAAACGTTATTTTAACTACCTAGTTACTTGATTACGAGGTGCCATAAAAATCTGTGAAGCTTCCACTACTATAGAAATGGTTCAGTTTATATCTCTACAACCCGTAACTGCGGAGTGCGAACTAAAACTGATTGTGTGAAGCGAAAACATGTATAGAAGAAAGCTCGAATGTAGAGCTTTTTCTGTTGCTTACATATTATAATAAATAGGTATATAATAATAATGCATAAAATACTCCTATTTTTTTCAAAAGCTTAAAACAATTACATATATATGATAACATATTGTAGAAGTATAAATAATTGAACTTAACTAATTTATAATTACTGGAATTTCTTATTCGGAGTCCAAAGTCCACTAGAAGTAGCAGTCCCAAAAAAGCACATATTTCTATACATACTTAGATGACCGCTAAGAAAAAAAAGGATCTACACATAAAGACAAAGATCTATACTTAAGAGTTAAAAAGGTGTACTACAGTTTATATATGTGATGATGATCTCCTAGCCGATTCCGACCACGGCGGCCAATCTCATTGAGACTAGCCAACTGCGCAGGAGATATTATAGTGCACAAGTGTACGCGCAGACACAAGTGCACTCTCTATTCCGGTCACTCTCATACTCCGGTGGGACGACCACTCGACACGACCGGTGAGAGTTAAGGCGCAGGACCGACGGCTTTACGTGCTCTCCGAGGCACGGGGGTGAAACACCGCCAACTTCCCAACTCCGGGCTGTTACTGAGACTTACTATACAGGAAGACTCAATAACTAAACTTGGCCCGACCCGGGACTCGAACCCAGGACCTCCGAGTGTGCAGCCGTACATGCTAGCAACTACACCACCGATATATATGTACTACTATCTACACATGAAAATAATTATACCTATTGAAAGCAGACATGTAATGCCGGAGCAGGGTCTTCTATACTAATAATATTATAAAGAGGTAAAGTTTGTGAGTTAGTGAGTTTGTGACGTTGTAGGGGGTAATCCCTAGATCTACTGTACCGATTTAGATGAAACTTGGTAAGAAGATAGTTTGAGACCCTGGGAAGGACATAGGATACTTTATATTCCGGAAATTGTCCTTTAAGGGGGCGAAAATGGGAATGAAAATTTGTATTGGAAAACAAGCTAGGGATACACCCGGGCGAAGCAAGTGAAGCTTATATCTCAAAATAAAGCTTAAATATAAGCTTAGACGTTAGCTAATATCAAATCTCTGTCTCTCTCTCTAATATCAACTCTTTTTGTTCTAATATTATTACAACATATACTTAACATCAATTAAATTCCATACCTTACATCAATTATTACACCAACAAACTAACAAATTCATAGACAAAGACCAAGTTTATATATTTTCTTAAAGTGAAAATTAAGTTCAACACGTCTTAGCTTTCGTCGGTCTCAGTCCCTAAGCAATTAAATCCTACCCTCCATACCTTCGTCGTACCACGGCCTGTAATTACACTGTTAAGAGTTACGACTCAAAGATTTTACGCACTTAGACTTACATCGTAACAACTCGCAAATGTGCGTTTTGGTGGAAAGTTGGTCGCTTCGCTGTATTTATCGCTTCAAACTCAAATAATGTTTGTAAATATACTTTGATACTTCTAAACGTTTATTGCTAGAGTTTAAATGCTTAACGGTTTGTCAAGTTACAGAATAATTATTTGTATTAAGAATTTTACCATGATCGGATATTTGATTAATTATATGATATGAAGTTATCGTATAATACTTATAGGTTGAAAGACTTTTTGTTATCTACGAAATTCAGTAATACGTATTGAATAAGCAACTAAAACAGCAACAAGAAATGCGAAAAACAAAAACCTTAATATATATTTTCATCTACCCACAACAAACGAGAACGAATAGCGCAATTCGCAAAGGAACATCTTCACTAAAAATCTGCTATCTCAAAGATGGAGGACTAACGAGGGCTGCAAACTCTGATTTCCAATTCAAAGGAAAATTGCGATCCATAACGGGGTGGGGGGTTGGGTTTGTGGGGGATCCCCCTCCCGTTGCTATGCGACGCGGGGTGGAGCTCCCGCAATCACGGCCAATAGCACGACGGATATAAATTGGTCTCGCAACGCGACACTCAAGAGGGAACGAGAGGGATAAAGTCCTCTCAGTCGCTCTAATGAAGTCGCCAGTCGCCAGACCCCTTGATTGACGGACTCCGCGGCCCTCTTTCAATGTTATACCTAATTGTTAGGTATCGCTGCTGTGATTTGTTCGCGGATGTTGCGTATTGGTTGTAATTTCGCTCAGGTTGAGCAATCGTAGAGTACTTTGTTGTATATTATATACAATTGTTCATAAAGTTTTAGACAGTGATTTAAAATTTTTTGTTCTAATATAAAAGCGGCTAACTGGCTTAGTTACTATATAGAAAATAGCCTTATCTAAGTAAAATACATCTATGGATGTATATGTATATAGTTTCTTTTTAACCTGTACAGGTAATAGGATACGTAGTAAAAGACTCGATATATACATATAACAAATATATAATACATATATCTTAGTAGATTTTCTTTCACGTACAAACAAAAATATATCACAATTTTTTATTATTATAACAGTATGAAATAAACACTTTAAGCTGACTTAAGAATGACTCCCTGAAATGAAAGTTATATAACTTCCAACGGACTTATGAGAAAATGCCACTAAAATCCAGAACAAAGAGCTCTCGATATTAAATTCCTCAGCAAGAATCACGATACATAAACTGGTAATGGTCGCAGATATAACGCGCTATAAATTTTTGTAGTCGGGCCGCGGTAGAATCTGTAATGCGGACCGGACTCGCACAGATTACGCGGACGTGTATTAATACGCGCACGTGCGATATCCGCATATTTAGGGTTGAACTTGATAAATGCTAGTAAATGCTTGTATTGATCATACACGTTTTGTTGTTCTTGTTGATAATGAATGACAGTTTGTTGGTTATACTGTTTTATTTTACTCAATAGCGGCTTTTCCGGTAAAATTAAGAACTAAATTCGTATTGTGAATAATCTTACTAACGGCTACTTTTTATCACGGAAAAATGTAAGGTTCCCGTGGGATAGATTTGTTTTTGTTTTTCTAAAGGCAAACCCGAGCAAAGCGAGTGTGAGCCGCTAGTTATATATTGTAAACAAATATTGTAATAGCTTTTAAAAATTGGTAACTTTAATAAAATTATGTCCTGGTTACATATACAAAAGAAGTAGGTACTGTTATATACATATGTTTTATTTTCCTCTATAAAAACTGTTTTATAATATGTAATATTATAAAGAAACAATATATCTGCCTCATTTGTATGTTTTATTGTTCTACCTACATACAACCTTTAGGTATTAACAAAACGCAGTCATGAGGACTACCGGCAGAAGTGAAAACTTAATACTATAAACAAACTGTTGTTTTTTTTGGATAATCAAATTTAATTAATCCCTCAACGACCGCGGACACGCCGGCGTTACAGTTAACAATAGATTTCTTGAAAATTTAATTAATTTCTTAAAAATTTACAGTTAACAATAGAATTTTTAGAAATTTAATTCATTTCTTAGAAATTTACCTGGAGGTGTGAAAGTTTGATCTTAAATTAAAATTTGTAAATTAAAACTGTTTACATTTTTCTATATTCTGTTTACATTGTTCTATCGGCACTGTCAGTCTTAGCGTTAACACGTCACGTGACCATGTCGATGAGGATTTACATGAATTTACTCCCCATCCAAACCTGCCTATAGAAATTTTCACTTCAAAAATGAAGATTAAAACTAATCAACACTGTGTGATATTATTTCCTATCTCTTTATTAACATTATGAATAGCAATTAATGTATCTCGATGAGTGACAACCCTAAGACATTCGCACTCAGCCTCACGTGTCAGCGCCGATCGATACTCGGATATCCGAGCACAGATTATATAGGACTATATCCGTTGCGTCTCGAGCGTCAACGTGATTTGATTATGATAGTTTTACTATCTTAACAATATCATGTATCTAATACGTAGTTTCGTTTTCATTTATTTTTACGATATTATGTAAAGCTAGAAGTCATGTTTCCCTAAAAAATAAGTGCAGATTCGAGTTCCAGAGTGTATTAATGCGGTAATTCTTCAGAAATATCCCATATCTAAATCCCATACGTGTAGGTATTTTCTATGATATTACAAAAAAACTTTTTTACTAAAGCAAAAGGTATAAATAACTAGTGGAAAATAGTTATAAATGCATAGGAACGAATTTTTGTATTAAATTATTTGGATATTGTTCATACAAAAATACTAAAATCGCGATTAAAAAAATGAGTGGTGGGGGTATGAGGGTGAAAAATACTTTACAACCTATTCTCATACCTATCAAATATACAAAAAAACATTAAAATCGGTCAAGCCGTTTCGGAGGAGTGCGACCACAAACACCGTGACACAAGATATATATATTAGATAAGAATGAATTTTTCCATCCCTAAGTTAATGTTAAATAAGATTTGTAAATGTTCAATGACAAAATGCAAAGTACAACAACTCTATTAGCAATCCTTTTTGTCCTCAGGTGAAAAACCCCACAAATGCCAAGTGTGCGGTAAAGCGTTCAGCCAAAGTTCCAATCTTATTACCCACTCTCGGAAACACACGGGCTTTAAGCCATTTGCCTGCGAGCTTTGTGGACGCGCGTTCCAAAGGAAAGTAGACTTGAGAAGACATAGAGAGACCCAACATGCTGATCTACGAAACCCTCAACACATGCAGCCTCCTCACACTGATGTACATGGCATGCACCCTCCTGAAATGCACGTTGGTGAACGGATAGGTATATACTGATATTTTCTATAATAGTAACTATTAGTTTGAAATAATATAAAAATCGGTCAAGTGCGAGTTGAATTCGCACACGGAGAGTTCCGTATCATCGTACATGTATTTTTTATTAATATAACTTTTACTGTATGTATGTATGTAGTAGGTAGGAACGTTAAAAAATGTTTCTTGTATTTTTATTTTTTTTTATTTTATCTATTATTATTATTTGTTGTTATAGCGGCAATAGAAATACATACTGTGTGAAAATTTCAACTCTCTACCTATTACGGTTTATGAGTTACAGCTCTCTGACAGACGGACGGACGGAGAGCGGAGGCTTAGTAATAGGGTTCCGTAGGCATTAAATAATTTATAATTATGTAGGATTTGATGTTATTATTTTGTAAGACTTACACAAGTTTTTTTTTAATTTAAGTCTTCATTTATCATTATAAAAAGTATAGTACGATGGACCTCAATAATCTATCCATCTGTGATTTCACTTACTAGCGATAGGAATTTAATATAATTTATATGGAGTAAACATCAAATTTTTATCTCTAGTTAAAAAAATTCAGGTTAATCAACCGGCGTGAATAGTCCAGTTGAGATTAAGTATCGTAACCACAAGTAGCTCACACGTATTCCTTGCAATATGATAATTACGTTTAAAATAACAAAAATATTATTTTAAATAAAACTATCTTTTCGGATTTTGTCGCGGACTCCCCGGGAGTCTCTCCCGTGACCATGGATGCTGTAAAGCATTCGAAACGTCGGGAAACAAAAATCCAAATAAATCCGCGACAAAATCCGAAAAGATAGTTTTATTTAAAATGTCAAATATTCGCGTAAATCTAAGAAAGTATTAAACAAAAATATTAGTTAAATTATTTAAATTCTAAGTGTAAATCTATATATAATTTTTCTTTCCAGATCTCCGTCCCCCACACCCTGACTTCAGGATGAACACCGTGCCTCCCCTCCAGCCACTGCCTTCCTGAAGCGCGACCGCCTTCGCGCCGTGGCGCTGAGGCAAACAGTGGTAACATACAAAAACCAAAGACTCGGTGACGAGATGAGTTCAAATGAAACTATCTCAGAAGATTCAAATTTACCAAATTTATTTTGTTGGAAATATATTTTTTGTGAATAAAACCGTTATTTTTAAATGTTTAGATATTACTACATAGTAAATTGACATAATATCTGTCTGTAACGACAACAATTTTATTCATAAAAAATAATACTGTTTAATTAACTACGTCAAGAGAAACTTCTACCAAAGAAAAATACGATAAAATTAATAATTTATTTTTAATGTTAAAAATTTGTAAATGAAAGCATTAAGGCTCTAAATTTAACATATTGTAAGATTCCAATGTGAATTTTTGATCTCTATAAAAAGAAACACGCTGTATAGCGTTGTCTGATATCGAAACTGTAGTTAAGTGCTTTAACTGTCACATTAACTAATAAATAAAGTAAGTACTATATTTTTCTCTATATAAATATATTATTTTGTTATCTTTTAATTTTCTATTTACTTTTATTTGGACTAAGGCTGATACAATCAGCCTAATTACTTTTATATCTAGGATAAAAGTACTAAAGTACATTTAGTACTTTTAAAACTTATATAAATTTTTATTTTACTAGATATAAAAGTAAGTAACAGAATTATTCCAAACACGCCATTCCATTATTATTATGCTAAAACATTATTGAATTACTATTTTATTAGTATTTTATTAGTAAATACTTAAATTTAAAAAATCAACAAAAAAACACTACCATCTTGGACCGATTTTCATCAAACATAGCTAAGTACACTCCCGACTAATTCACCTTTCACACAACAAAAACAAAATCAAAATCGGTTCATCCGTTCGGGAGTTACGACAGACAGACACACAGACACGTCAATCTTATAACATCCCGTCGTATTTGCGTCGGGGATTAAAAAGACAATTTTGTGATATGTTTATTCCATAGCACTAATAAGTATCTCTAAGCACTTTACTTGCCTATAGAAAGAAAATTGCAGATAGCATACAAATTATCGCCTCTATGGTGGTATATAATATAATTACGTATCACATAAAACCACCATAAAAAAAGTTTAATGTAAATAAAGCTTATGTTTTTATTCCAAACTTTGTTATAAACAGTGCTGCACATTAAACATTTATCTGTTAATACTTTTTAAGTCAATATAAAATATCTGTGAACTGCTTTGGATAAATCTTGTTTTGTTTTGGATAAATTAATCTATGTGGTTTTTTTTTTCAAATTACAGAAATTATCTTTCAGAATAATAAATTAATTAAGCCCACACTCTAGATAGGACGTTCTTGTACATAATTTATAATAAATGTTAATATTTTATACAATATTTGAGTTTATACGTAAAATTGTATACGAATATTTCTTATAAATATTTAAAAATTGACAATTTAAAATCAATGCCAGTAAAACTTTTATTTTTTATTTATAAAATGAAGCCAAAGATCGTTTTAGAAATATATTTGACAAAATTTTGTTTATTCCAAATTATTGAGTCCTAAAACTATCTAAACCATCTCATAGGGACTTACTCGTATATACAATAGTTTATATATTACATAAACTTGTTAGTTTTTAAGCTATCACATCTAACAATTCGTATGTAACTGAGCTGCTACTAAATAATCTACAATATGCGGTAGATCTTACATGGCTGTATAGTATTTTATACATACATATGCTACTTTATTTTCAACCGACTTCTTCAAAAAGGAGGAGGTTCTCAATTCGGCTGTATTTTTTTTTGTTTTTATTTAGTTTTAGCTTTCAAAAGCTAAAACTTTCATAGTTTTTTTAAGATGTTTTCTTTAAATTGACCCACAAAACAAAAATTATATGTATACTGCGTTCTTTTAATAAAATAAGGCGCTTTGTTTCTCTAATTGAATTATATTGATAGTGTATCCGCATATTGGAGATTTTAACGTGTAATATTAAATAATGGTATTACATGTTATTATTGTCTTTTAAATTACACCACCGCTTCGACTGTAATAAACATTAAAATCTTAGTATGTAATATGAAATTTTATAACTTTGTTCTATACTTTCCTCATTGTTTTAGTTATATCTTTATAAGTAATATATTGTATATTTAGAATAAATGTATTTAACGTCTTGAAATTTTAAATAAATTTAGTACAATGTTATAATAAATGTCTGTAAATAGTGTAAAAAATTTAGTCATTTAAACAAACCCAAAGACAACGTGCAATCCTATGTCATTATAACTTTTATTGTTATAAGCAACTGTCACTTAAATATATAAAGATGTATATTACTATGTTGTTTTATTCATTGTATATGACCCGCTTCACTTAAGCCCCAACTTCGAAGTTCAACTTAACCAACTTTAAATGGGAGAGGTACTTGATATGATTTTATGTCTATATGTGTGTTTGTTACGCGAAATCTTCACCAAATAGTTAATCGTTTTTTTTATTAATAGTTTATGCCTGAAATTGATTTCTCATTAAATAAAGCTAGATTTTGAAGTTTGGTAAGTTGCGCTTATCGATCTACTGATATTATTATTTATTGAAATTATTAAATTAAACAAGATAAATAATTATTACCATTCTTTGGTGTATATATTGTGCAAACAATCTGGTCATCACTGTATAATGCTAACGTCAAAGGTAGCAGGTTCGATCTCAATACATCATAAAAAAAATGGGAGAAATATTTTGAAACAAAATACGAAATTGTATTACAAAAACAAAATCAACTAATTCTAATAATATTTGAACATAATTCATGCAATTGCTCTGAGCCCGGAGACGTAACGCGATTTGTGAACAAAGTGAAGGCTCACGTTACATGGGGCGACTAAATTCGGTAAAAGAATTAACAATGTTACTTCTAAGTATATACTATATACTATATAGTCCATTTTAAATATTCCCAAATAATTCTTATTATCATTAAAAGCAGGTATCTACAATTAATTGTAATATAAATATTTATTTTCATTTTTGACAGTTTTAACATCAAGTCAAAGTCAAAAATCTTAAAGAAATGTCTGCTGCTTACAAATATTTTAATGAATTCGACTAATTTATTTAAGTTCTACACATTTTCGTCAAAGACAAAGAAACAATTCAGTGACATGCCATCCTTACAAAGGTTTTAAGTGGGAAAATATAATATTAATGTACGCTAAAATAAAAATTCGGTATATAAGATAACTAAATTAGAAAATTTCGCGTTACTAAAAAAGTCAATATTATCAGCACGATGGTAGAAACAAATTCCTTTAAACCCAGACTTAACCCACTTGCTGTTTCTTTCTTTCTTAAATCTATCGTGATATCTTCTAATTTATAGCACGTGACGTTTATAGTGACGACACGTTTAGCTTAGTTTTTAGTGACCCTACTTGTTGTGCCAGCGGTCGCGGGTTCGAGTCCCGCTGGGGGCATTCATTTGTGTGATGAGCATGAATGTTTGTACTCCAGTCATGGGTGTTTATATTTATAATATGTATGTATTTAATGTTATATATGTGTAGTGTATTAACTACCTAGTATCCATAACACAAGTCTCGTAGCTTACCATGGAACTAGATGGTAGTGTGTGTTAATGTCTTAACATATTTATTTACTTATTTATAGCTTAATAACTTATGAGATTTAAAGAAAATGTGAAAAGAAAATATGTACTTAAATATATTCACATTTCACTAATATCGAGAATATATAGAAAAAGAGCTGGTGTTTGTTTACATTTAAAAAAAAAGTGCTCAAACCAAATTTTCTTTATGATAATAATATCATAAATTTTATCTGCTTATAATTGTAACTTTTTTATACTATATGTATAATGCAGGGCAAAAATGAAGACTGACTCTATACTACTATACTCAGGTTAACTTTGAATGATTTCAAAATAATTTGTTTTTTATTACTTATGTGGTTTATAATTGTATACACCTATTACGTTCTTCTTTCATGTTTTTTTTTAAATGAAAGCCTGGAAATAAACTTAAAAAAAACCTTAGCTACAGCTAACCTATAATATAGATACCATAAACATCGCAATACTTTTTGAATCAGCTAAAAGCTGGCTATTATAAGAATACAACCATTAGTTAATGAGTAATCGATCATTACTGTTCAAACAAGTTGCGATCAACAAACACACAATCGCGCTTATTGGATTAATTTCTAATAATCAATATATGATTAGCGGTAGTGGAATCTTAGCTTACTCGTATATGTATATAAATATGACTGCCTCGATGGTTTAGTGGCTAGCATGTACGACCACAAACCGTAGGTACTAAGTTCAAGTCCTGTTCTCAGTTATAGCAGGAAGTTGGGAAATTAACAGTGTTTCACTCTCGTGCCTCGAAGAGCACGTAAATCCGTCGGTCCTGGGCCTGATCTCTCACCAGTCGTGTCGAATTTTCGTTCCACCGGAGTTGATTCCACTGAAATCGGTCAGGAAGGCATTATAACTATTAAGAAACCACAATATGAATTATACAAAGAATACAAACATAAGTGAATACTTTGAATTGGGCTTCTCTGTTATGAACCCACAAAAAAGAAGAGGTATCTATGAAAATCTAATGTTTTATGTGTGTACGTTAGGCGTTATTTATCTTAAACTTTTAATTTTTTTATATATTGTGACGTTGACAAGAATAAGAAAATGTGATAACTCCATAATGCCATGAGAAATTGATTGTTAAATATTTTTAAATATGTCTATTATTATACGCGTATATTATATACTTATATATAAATCAATTAAAAAGAAAAATAATTAATTTCTTTATAAAAACATAGTGTAGTATCCCCATGACTCACTAGGCACTATTACCTGAAAAACAAAAATAAACCCACAAACAAACTTTTTTTCTATTCAAAATTTTACTATGAATTTATTTACTTCTTACTTCAAAAATTGTAAATTTTGACGTCTTTTTTAT